ACTGTGTTATCACAGAAGGAGGGAGAGGGGAAGGGAAAGGGGTGAAGAAAGAGAGAGAGAAAGCAAGAGAGACCAGTGAGTGGACTGAGCTTTGTTTCTTACATTTTACTTGTTGCTGCTTAATCATTTTATCTCTAGCCAGTGTCTGCCAGCAGCCATGCATTAGTGTGGTCCAGAAGTGTAAGAAATATTCATGGACAAAAATGTAAATGAGAATGTTCTGGACACCAGGTTTACAACCTGGTCAAATGCTGCCATTTCTTACTTTTAGAGCCAGAACATGCCTCAGCCACTGTCTCAGAACCCAGGAGCAGAGCATGGAAAACACGTCTGCAGAGGCACGACCCCCAGTTAATGACGTGCATTCTCTCCTGTGCAGCGACAGCACTTGTTGTCAGAATCCTTCGTGACAAATATGACTCCGACCTCGTCCCAGTACAAAATCTCGGTTCCCCTGGCACTTAAGAGCACCTTCTCCAGGTGCCTAGCCGGACCCTCCGGCAGCCTCTGGATAGAGCTCAAACGAGAGCCTCTGCAGGAGCACCCCTGGAGGGCTCCGGGGGTTCTAGGGCCAGAGCAGTCACAATTTTCCAAAGCAAAGCCACCTCAGCCTGGCTCTGGAATTGGTGGGGCTTTGATGGCACTGTGTCTGCAGTGGACCAGAGCAGTCCCACTGAGATGCCTGGCTTGGCTCAGGTGTGCTCTTGGCCCACCGTCTTAGGAACACAGGGGACGGCTGTGCAGGCCGGATGGTGGTCAGGCTGCGCCCGTCCCTTCAGCATAAAGGAATTGTCCCATCTCTCTCTTGGATTTTTAAAAAAGATTTCATTTATTTATTTTTAGACAGAGGAGAAGGGAGGGAGCAACACATCAATGTGTGGTTGCCTCTTGTGTGCCCCCAACAGGGGATCCGGCCGGCAACCCAGGCATGTGCCCTGACTGCAAATGGAACCAGCGACCCTCTGGCTCGCAGGCCGGCACTCAATCTACTGAGCTACACCAGTCAGGGCTCTTCCTTGGATTTTTAAAGAGCTGGGCCCCATCCTCATTCATGGAATCTGCAAACTGGTACCTTGTCAGGAAATGGTATTTGGACTAAAAAAAAACATGTTATGGAATGAGATGCTTCTCTGTGCCTGTGTTTTCTCATCCATAAAATGGGAATAATAAGGGCTCTCACCTCACAGGATTGTTGTAGGGATTGAATGAACTATTTTCTGTAACACACACAGACCAGTGAGGCAGCTGCTGCTGCTTCTTAGTAGCATTACTACTGTTCCGGTTTTATCCCAATCTATCCATTCCTTTAGGTTGGTGTTTCCCAAGTATTCATTTACATAGCACGTCCTAAACTTGCTGTTTTCACTATTGTTCCTCCAGTAGTTTTCTCTGAGCTGAATCACTTTCCACTTATATTTATTTTGAAAGGGAATTATATACCATCACAGCAAATGTAAAATAGAATTCTCTGCTGTAACTGGAAAACAAATGTAAAAATAAATACAATGAAAACAAGTAATTGATTAAACTCAAGTCTGTTGCCTGCCAAAGGCACCAACCCTGAGCCTTCCCCTGTCTTTGCTGAAAAGGAAGAGCAGAGGGTGTAAGTCACAGTGACGACTTGGAGATGTGTTCCTCTGGGTAATCACAAGCAATGACACAGCTGAAAAGCGCGTGGCCTTCTCTCTGCATAATTTGTGCTGAATGTCCAAGCCCTGTCTTCCTGAAACCATGCAAGCACACGTAAAACCATCCGGTTTCCCACCACTCCGGGAGACCGTTCCGGAGTGTCACCACCCAGTGAACTCTCTGCGAGGATGGAAGTGTTCTCGGCCTGCGCTATTGGGGCAGCGGCCCCCAGCTGCCCACGGCGCTCAAATACTTGGAATGTGGCTAGTGTGCCTGAGGAACTGAATTTGAAATATCATTCAACTTTAATTAGTTGAAATTTAAACTGCCACGCGTGGCTATTGGCTGTCATATTGGGCAGCAAAGATTTACTGAGGAAACTACATGTGCTGATCCTTTTATCTTGGCTCTTCAAGTGAACTTATGTTCATTTCCAGGTTGTGCCCTTGTTTCCGTTGAGAGAGATCTTAGGAAACCGGACAGTGTCGTGTCATGGGGATTAAAGTGGGGATTGCCTACAATACCCTTCATTACTGTTTAACCTAAAGCCAGGTGTGGAGATTTCTTTTAAACCTCCCTTTGAGGAAATGATTATTTTCTTCTCATTAGCAATGGAATTATTCAAAATAGTCACATGTCCATTTTCACACTGGCTGTCAGGACATTCATAGGAAATCCAAATATCAATGACAGCAACTGTGTGGAATTTCATGAGAGCTATATATAATTTCCACTGTTTCCTTAGTGGGAATACTCTTAGTTTATATTTTCTCTGACTCTACTATTTCTTACTTCTATTTTATTGCTCTTTTCTATGAGTTTCTCTATAAATTATTTTTATGGAATTATACAAAATGCATTTTTAACAAAGAAAAATAATGTCTAACATTACCAGTATTTTGGATGAGTCACCTTTTATCCAATATCATTTATGACTTATAAAAGAAAAAGAAACAAGAAAAAACACTGCAACAAAGCTTTTCTAAGATGCTTCGAAACTCATGCTCAGATTTTGCTCTTGAGGCACCAAGCAGAAGCACCATGAGCTAAAAGGAGAAACACAATTGCATTCAAGAGGCGCTGCTTCGTACATCTCAACATTAAGAAAGATTTCAAGAGAGCCCAAGCCGCAGGCTGAAGCTGCTCTGGGAGACTCGAGCGCTGCCAGGCCTGTGGCCGGAGGAAATGGGGGCCACGTCCTCTGAGCACTGGAATGCCCTGAGAACAGTGGATGGGGACAGAGTGGCTGGAATGCCACTGTGACCGCTGTGGAAACCATGTCCCAGGCAGTGGCATATTGTCTCTGCCCATTTCGTTTCATAACTGACTTTCAGAAGCTCCAGCCTGCCGAGTCACTTCCAGGGGTGAAGGCTGGGCAGAAGAGTCCAAATGTAGGCAAAGAAAACCTCTCAAATGATACCACATTTTCACTACACTCTTAAAAAAAGAAAAAAGAAAAGCTATCTGCTTCACTTTTCTCATCCTCAGCTTTGTGATGACTGCAAAGCAGAACTTGAAGGGCATTCAAACAAGAGAAAGTTTGTTTGTTGTTTGGAGTGTAGGATAAAAAGAGAAAGAAAGACAAGATATTCAGATATCTGTCATATCTAAGTCTCTTTTTTAAGAACTGATAGCAACATAAAATAAGGAAGATAAAGTGACCTTCTGGTGCAAGCTTCTTTGCCAAAATCATCTGTCCGTAAGATTTTAGGTAAGATGTGTGTGTCATACTCATACTCATTCCCCGATAACACATGTCCACCACCAGACCTGCCGCCGGAGTCCAAACATGGCGGTCATTTTGGAAGACGAGAAATGAATACAAGTGGCTACTGGGCACTATACAATTCTAATGCTGATAAGTTTTCCAAGGTAAGTATTACTATTATTTGCATTTTACATATGAGATAGCTAAGATTTACTTAAGGCCACAAAATTGAAACCAGGGCCCTTATTTTCAAAGTCCAAAGTCATTTTTTTCACCATTCCAGTCTCTGGGGAAAATATCTTATTAGCTGAGGAGACTTCTTCAATGAGTCAGTTCCCCACTAAGAGAAACGGTAACAAAATTAAAGAATTTTTTTTTTTTGCCCTGGGCAGGTGGCTCAGTTGGCTGGAGCATCCTCCTCTGCACCAAAATGCTGCAGGTTCAGGTTCGAGTGTCAATCAGGGCACATATCTAGGCTATGGGTTTGATCCCCAGTCAGGGCACATACAGGAGGCCACCAGTCAATGTTTGTCTCTCAAATCAATGTTTCTCTCTCTGTGTCTCCCTCCCTCCCTCCCTCTCTCTCTCAACAATAAGTATATCCTCAGGTGAAGATTAACAAAACTCATGGCTTTTTACAGATCTCACGGGAAATAAAAACAAAACTTAATGAAAATTGTTGTGATACAAAAAGACAGTAGAACTGGAAGCAGCTGAGTCAGAATTGAAAACAAAACAGTCCCAGGACAAGTGAACACCAACAGCTGGAAACACCAACAGGAAATCAGGACCCAAGGCCAAAAAGAAAGACAAACCGAAGATCATTAGGCGGGGCTGGAAGAGGCATCAGAGAAAAGATGGAAAACTGGGCTCCCAGTTGTTGAGGCAAAACCGCCTTCATACCTGACAAAGGTCCCAGCCACTCATCCCCACCCAGTGGGTGGCTATCTCTACCCTGAGGTGGTAGAGGAGATGTTTGCAGTTTTCACTTGCCAACTACTTGATGCTCCTTCTTTGGAAAGAATAACCTGGTTTACATTCGGGGAACCACATCTCCCCTCTCTCAGACACATGGTCAAATAAGGTCTACTCCAACTCAGTGCCCACAGCGGTCACATGATCCACACCTGGCCAGTCACAGAAGTCCATCACCCAATCCCAAGGTGTAGGGATGGGTTTGACATCTAAGACAGACCCATAAGAAATGCTGGGGACTTGGCTGAAACCACCAAGACAGGCTCAGAGTCTGGCGCTGCCAGGAGCCGTCTCGTCAACCCAGGGAAGCCGGCCCGAAAAGGGTGCCGCGGCAGAAGAAACAGGAGATGGCAGCAGATCCCCGAACACAGGGTCAGTCATCCTGCGGCCGGATTTGTGCCTGGATTTTTCCATTGCACACAGAGGCCAACAAATCCCATTTCTGCTCGAGTGGTCTGAGCTGAGGGGTCGGGGCCTGACTAAGAGGACTAACTAGCATGAGAAGCTCTGCCCAGCTCCCTGCAGTCTGGTGCAGGACCATTTCCTCAGGGGGCGGAGCAGCTGGAATGCTGCTTCTAAGTACAGCACTGGGGCGCTCCACTACCAGGAGGAAAAAAGCCCCACAGCATAGCACACGAGGGTCCGCTCTCCCCAGGCAGTGAGGCCCACCAGAAAACCAGGTGCTTACCTGGTACACATGGAATGCATTTGCTGCTTTGCCCCGGAGAAACACGGATGGGATCCAGACATTGATCAGCGCCCGGTTGGATCTGACCAGAGGGAAAATCAAAATTGGTCATTTCAACTTACAAAAATGGGGGGCTATCTCTTCCTCTAAGAGGCATTATGCACAATTTATGACATCTCTAACTTGTAACAGTAAAGGGCCAGTGTAAGTCTCATTACTTGGTCCCACAAATTATTTTTAAAGGACATAGATATATGCATGTGTGTGTATTTTTAAATTTCTCTATGGAGTTTGTATCCTGGAATGAGAAATAGCTTCCCTCCAGTTCTGAGCAACCATGGCTTACAATTTATATGAACCTCGGTTTGCTCATCTGAAGAAGGAGATAATAACCAAAAGCCCTGGTGAGACTGGAAGGGTCATGTGTGGAAATGCCCACTGGGTCTCTGGAGCACCCAGAAGGGCCTCCTCACTGTGCTCACGTTAGATTGGGCCCCCCATTGTGAGGTGTGACTCCATGAAAGACCTCAGTAGACCAACAGCCATGGCTATGAGAATGACAGCTGCTGGGGTGGGGGCACCAAAGAGGACAAGGTAGGACGCCAGGAAGCCAGGCGCGAGGAGCCCTCTTTCGACTTGTCCACAAACAAAAACTTTGTGTATGGCTCAAATAAAATAAGATTTAAATTCAAATACAAAACCCTTTGCCAAGTACCTAACAACTTATGGCTCCATGCTTTTATATATATTATCTCAGTTAACCCTCACAGGCTATTTAAAGAACTTTCAAGGGTTATTTTGGTTCTGTGACAGGTTTGCCTTCTGTGAAGACTTTAAACTGAACTTATGAGTCACTGGGCGCACACACCCACCTCCGCCGCCACACTTCCACCAGGCTGGATCCGGCTCAGGAGGACCTGATAGCTTAACTGAAGGAGCTGAAACCTCAAGATCAATCGTAACAGCTATCAAAACAGTGCTGTGCAATTCTGGAAGGGCTGGAAGGTTCCAGCTCTTGCCTCTGCTTAGAGCTGTTCCAGGGCTTAGCACTTAACACTTTTCCCCAAGTTCTCGTTCTCTCTAAAGAGCAGCTCATAAAAATTCGCCAGCCTCCTGTGCTTGGAACTTGAGATGTTGATCATGGAAGATTCCATGACTCAATATGTCTCACAATCTTTAGAATAAAAAGCATTTTATTTCCACAAAGAAAAAGTCCTCTCCTGAAGCACCATTTCTCCTGAGCTCTGAGCTGAGGTGCTGACCTCCTTCGTTGGGCAAAATAAGCCCTATTGATCACTTCCCTGGGCTGCAAATACAAATTGCGATTCTGAGCCACCAGATTGGTTTATCTAATGACAGTCTTCTGTAAAGGTCCCTGGAATTACACAAGTGCCTAAAGTGCTCCCCTGTCAAGGTATGGAGTGGTGCAGAAGTGTAACTAACACTCTGGTTTTCATTAACCTTTCTAGATTGCTAAGGGCTGGACAACCTCCCAGGGGTACTGCAAGGTCGCCCAACTGGGTATAAACATTTCTCCCATTCAAAGCATTTGCCACACTGTATTAGAACCAATTGTTTTCACAGCCATCTGCCTCCTAGATATTTACTCATTCTTTTATTTGTTCACTCATGCATTAAACAGGAATTTATTGAGAACCTACCATGTGCCATGTGCCAGATACTATTCTAGGTACTAGAGAGAAACCCACAAAGAAAGCAGACACACTCCCAACCCTCAGGGAGTGTGCACTTTCATGAGGGAGAGACAAATCCCCATTAAAAATATTCCACTGTGGCTGTAGAAGACACTTTGTATGACTTCCGCCTTTACGAGATTTGTTTTGTGGCCTAACCTATGATCTATCCTGGAGAGTATTCCACATTCACTTGAGAAGAAGGCTGCGGCGGTTTGGTGGGCTGTTCTATACATGTTTGTTAGATCTAACTGCTCCACAGTATTATCTGAGTCTTCTATTTCCTTACTAGTCTCTCTAGTGATCCTTTCCATCATTGAAAATGAGGCGCTGAAGTCTTCGACTATTACCATAAAACTATCTATTTCCCCTTCATTGCTGTCCATTTTTTACATGATATATTTTTGGGGCTCTATTGATAGGTGCCTAAATGTTTATAGTTGTCACACAGAAGTTATTTAACCATCATTGTGGTGGGTGCTACCGAGGAACACCAGCTCTGAGCAGAGTGAACACCACAGGGTCCTACTTCTTTCAGGAAGCAGGGTTTGGGCAGGGCTGCGGGGACGCTGAGAGGGAGCCACGCTGGGGAGGAGAGGCTGAGTCAGGAAAGGTGCTTCCAGCAAGGGGGTTAACATTTGTGAAGGGCACAGAGTCTAGATCAAGACTGCCTGGATCTGAATCCTGGCCCAAACCTGCCATCTGCAGACAATATCAATGTCACAGGGTTGTTGCAGGGACTGAGTTAGAACCATGCCTAGTGTAGAGAAAATGCTACGGCAGTGTGAGCTACAAAAATAAAATAATGATTCTGAGAGGAAAGACTGAGTGAGTTAGAGATGTTGAGTCAGCCAGGGTGGCTGGTGGCAGGGAGGGGACAGGAGAGGGCTGGGGAAGAAACTGGAGGTCAGCAAGGGCCTTCGTGGTGAGCTACAAGGAAGATCTGGGTCTCCGTCCTGAGACAGAGAAATAGCACATCCCTCTGGCACCAGTGGAGATAGGCAAACCTGTGGGGGGAGGTTGCAAATCTCTGGGGGAGAGATGATGTAACTGGACAGGCAGAGGCTGCTTGAGGGCTATGGCTTATTTATCCCTTCCATCAAGGACCTGACATGACACTGGCCTGCAGTAGGTACTTGGGAAATTCTTACTTTAATAATGAGCCCCTTCTGGTCACAGCTGACATGTCTCTAGGATTCCTCTGTATCGCTTTCATCTGTCTTCTCAGCTTGTCCCCACCTGGGCCCCTACCAGGCTACCATTCCATTCTCCTCTTCATGTTGTACTCACCCTACTCATTTACCCATGGGAGGCTAATTCACCTTTGATTCTCCTCGTTCACCTTTAACCACCATGGATGTGGTTAAAGGTAGGATGACCTCCTCCTCATCCTACCAACCTAACTGCTGCCTCCACCTCCGCTGCAGCCACCCCAGCACTGAGAGGCCTCCTAATGTCCTCCATGGTTCTCATAAGCTCACTCTAGTTGCCACCATAACGCTGCAAGGCTGGCATTATGACTTTCATCTTATGAGTGTGGAAACTCAGACCCAGTGAGGTTAACTGGCTTGCCCAAGGTCCCAGTAATGTGAGGACTGTAGCTAAGATTTCAATACAGGCCAGCCTAGCTCTGACACAAGGCTCTGTCCCATGCCCTGCCCTCTTTCTTCAGAAGTGAGCATTTTCCAGATGACACCTTTTTTTCAGGAGGATGGACCTTCTTCCGCTCTGTGCAAGTGAATGAGAGAGGGGGGGATTCTGCCTGGCTTTAATCCAGGACCCCCTCCACTTTTTTTTTTTACCAGCCAAATGGAATTATCTGTCTGAAAACCAAGATGACCTGATCAGAAATAGTCAGTCTGAAGACCAACTAAATCCCTCAAGGTCATTAGCAGAGGCAGAAGGAAGAATTAAATCCAATCAAAAATTGGACCAATGTACTGAACTACTGTTGCTTCCAATAACTTGGAGGTTGTACACTCAGACTGTTACAGGAGACACACAGACAATGAAATGAGTGGTAGGCTAGAGTCGGGCAATAGGGAGAGGTGGGGACTGTGGGTAGCTGAGGAGCACTTGCCCTGTGAGCAGCAGGCAGCTGCTGCTCAGCTCCGACTGTGGCCTTGTAGGGCTCTGAGTCTTCTTTTAAAGAAAATAGAGAAATTTAAATTCCTTGTGATATCTTCCAACTCTTAAATGTCAGCCAAAAAAACCCATGTTTTTCAAAACTGAAGGGGAAACATAAAACACCTCTGAAGGCCAGACTTGCCCAGCAGGAGAACAGCTTCCCTCCTTTACAATAACCAAACCAGCCTGTGCAGATTTAAACAGTGATTTCTGTTCCCTGGGTGGGCCTCCCGGGACTCAAGCCAAACTGCAGAGTCCTATTCTAAAGGGCCCCTCATAAGCAGACTCTGTGGACTTACATTTCAAAATCCGACAAACTCTGGTCTTCGGATGTTTGACTCAAATCTCCAGGCACCTGCCATCAGGAGAGGGAAAAGGGAGAGAGAAAACACATCATGGTTACTGTGGTTTGCATAATCATAAAAGAATCCTGCCTCTCAGTGAACCCTGAAAACTTCCTGTTCAGAAAGAGGTGAAAAAGCAGTTGCTAGCAAACAGTGAGAGATTCTGTGGAAGGAAGGTTAGAGACAGTGTTGCAGGAATAAAACTATGCCATCATGAGAGGTCTCAATTATTTTGACAGAAAAGGCACTGTTAATCCTATTGAGATAATCACAGGCATGTAAAACCATATAATTTTGGAGCTGTAAAGGCCTAGTTAAAATATGAGATGCAAGACATCAAATGTACAGCAGAAAAAAATATCCATTGTCACCAAGATGAACATCACACACACAGACAAATAAATGCATAAATACAAACAGGAAATACCTCCCCCCCCAAGGCTGTATTCTACCCCCCTCCTAAGGTGTAAGTGCTTCAAGGCACGAGGACATGATTCCTCTTCTGACTCAGAAGGGCCACACAAGAACATGAGTGAGTGAAAGAAACTAAACTGCCTGAAGCGATGGCACCTATTACATTAAGCAGACAGCAAAATGTCCAGCACAAGTTGATGCTCAATAAATGGGTATGACATGATCACACCCAGAGAATGCATTTCCTTTTGCGAGCTGATCAAATCTGAACTGCTTGGAGCTTAAGAATGTGGATCAAAACCAAGAGGAACCAAGTGGGACAGAGAAGGGTGCAGGGTAGTGAGGGAAGGGGAACTGTTGTTTCACACTTTGCACCTGTCGGGGATTTCAGATGATCACAATTTTCATCAGTCCGGTGACAAAACCAAAGGTGGGTATCACCCCCATCACCCTTACACATGAGAGTGAGGCTCAGGGAGGTTGTAAAAGCTGCCCCCTGTCACACATGTAGGAAGTGGATGTGAGTCCAGGTCTGTCCAATTTCAAAGGCTTTTCTGCTACAAACCCTCCCACACAGAGGAAAAGCCAGCTGAAAGGTGAAAGGAGAAGGTGAGAATTTTAGCCAAAAGTCTTGCCCTTACAGTGGTTCAGAAGACACAAGAAGGTACCCCTTAAAGAAACAGTGAGTTCCCTTTAGAGGCAGGAGAGTCCAGTGACCATGGAGCCTGCACCTTGGGGGCACATGGCTCAGGATCAAACGCCAGCTCCACTTTTTCCTGACTGTATGGTCATGGGCAAATCACTTGATTTCTCTGTGCCCCACTGACCTCATCTGTAAAATGGGTATAACAGCAGTAATGATCACAGGTTATGCTGAGAGCAAAGTGAGTCAATACCTGTAGAGCATGCAAGACCGTGCCTGGCAGGTAGAAAGGACTCGATAACTGATTTGTGCACTATAATAATGAAATAACAATTATTGAGAAGTAAGAGCAGTATGTCATGCTATCCTTGGCACTAGACGTGAATCTGTCCTGCCAACCCAAAGGGTCTCTCTCACCTCATCTGTGGCAGCCCAGAGGCAGAATAACCCAACCTGCACCCTCTACAGATACATGGAGCTAAGCAACTAAACTGGGCTCCAGGCAGCAGACTTTGCTAAGAAACTGCTTTTGAGAGATTCCTTCAAATCCACAAGAAAGAAACATGCCTGACTACTTAAAAATACTTTATTTTCAAATGATTAGGAACTTCTGAGCTGGGGCGAGGGTCCATGTGGCCTTGCTGTTAAGGTGACTATCATTTTGTGTGGGCAGCTAGGAGGAGAGGTGGTATAATCCACTAGGAAAGCTGTGAGGCTGTGTGTACCAAGATCCTTCAACCCAGAATCTCACTTCCAAGAACTTATCTAGAAGAAACAACCAAAGACACCAACAATTACACCAAAGATCATTCTCTTTCTAATGCTTAGGGCAAGTAAAAAAATATGCAAACAGCCCAGAGGTCCAACTACAGAGGGGTGATTCAAGAAAACAGCATGTCTGAATACAATGGCCAAGTTAAAACTGGGGTGCATACACTCTCCTGAGGGTGCAAGCACAGAAGTAATTCTGCAAAGGTATATAAGAAAATAGTAATAGTGGCTATCATCGATAACAGATTAAGAGTAGGATTAGGAGGAAAACAGCTTATTTTTAATTTGCTATCTTTCTGTAAGATAAAAAAAGAATAACTTTTGAAATGCTTTTTAACACATGAAACATGCTGCTGAAGAATAAGATAGCATTCCGTGTGCTGTTTTGAAAAGAGCTCCAAGGCAGATCACCAAGTGAAAGCAAAGCCTGTGTAGTAGGTGGCTCTAATACACTATCCTGGCTGCAAACATGAAGGACTAAGAACATCTAAGTTGTATTTGTTTGTCTTGCATTAAGAAGCTTTAGCAGGTAAATTTAAGACACCAATGAAAGGGGCAGCCTGTGGGCAGGGTGTGAGGGCCCAGGCAGCTGGTGCACAGTGTTGGGAGTGAGGCTATATACTGAACATCCTTTTATATTATTTGACTTTTTAAAATAATATGCTAGCACCCCAAAATTTAAATAAAAATGTATACTCCCACCAAGAGTCCTTTCGATCAATTTTTAATGGCATAGAAAAGAACTCCTGGTCTCTGTTTAATAAAAAGCTGCTTTGGACTGCAACCACTCTGTGTGATTCCAAACATAACTCACAATGCATGTGAATCAACAAAGAATGAAACAGATCCGAAAGGTGACAGGGGGAGCTTTTGAGAGAGTGGTCAGATGAATCTGAATTATGCGTTTGAACAACGAGAATGCATTAACTGTGTAACCACAAACTGATGCACACCATGTATTAAGTATGCATCGTATCGCTACATAAAGTAAATAATACATTTTTCTAACTCCTTCCCCTACCAATGCACTTGGCTAGAATGCAGAAAGCCAGATGGGAGAGACTTTGGCTTCAAATGCTCTTATGTATCAGCAAAGGAAAAGGGCAAAGGAAGGCCCTGAAGGCACACCACCTTCCAGACACCAGCTCCTTGATGGAGTGGGAACCTGGTGGAAAAGGCCAGGACTCCAGAGCCTCTTCTGGCATGCCATAGGGCGACTTTCAGCCTCTTTTCTCCTCTGAGCTTCCCCTTCTGCACCTGTATCCGTCCTGGCAGACGGATAAGAGGATCAGATGCAGTAAACACATCAGAGGAAAGACCATGAAGACACCAGCTGTACCATATGCCCATCATCACCTGGAAATGCAGCCTCATTTCAGACTGGAAGTGAACCGAGCTCATATCCAGCAAATCCCCATCGCAAGAAGGAAGCTTCTGACTGTGTCTACCCCATGAAGCAGAAGGGGAGGTGACCAAAAGGACAAAAGCAGAAGACAAAGTGAGATTTTTAAGGACAGACATCACCTTACAATAATGAGAACAAAGAGCCTTTTCAAAAATTATTATTGCTAAGAAGAAGGCATTTTCCTGACAGATGGTCTTTTCTCAAGATGCTGATTCTTAGGGAACCTTTAGACAGTGGATGTAAGTATCTGGGAATTGTTAAATCCTTCCAACTTCGAAGCTTTGCTTCTAACTACATGGTATTAATGGCATTGGCAAGCCAGGAGACATTTGTGTGTCTACAAGAGCTCTGGAGAGGCTGGCTGGAAAAAGAACCTGTGACCTTTCTGACCTTGTGGAATGTATCTGGAAAGTCAGGCCAGGCTCAACAGCAACTGCATGATGATAATTGGTGGCCAAATTCATTAAATATCTGAAAATTTTGTCTTTTCTTGCTATCTGCACAGACTGGTGCTAGATACCACCTGGGGTTTATAGTAATCATCCAGGAAACTAGTCTTACTTCATACTCTGGCAGTAAAAGAAGTGTGAAGTAGAGAGCATTTTATTAGAAAAATCAACTTTCTGTTGATATTGGCCACAAACATCCCTCGTGAGCTCCTGAAGCCCCAGGAAATCTGGAGGATGCAGCTCCGAGATGCAGTCCTCTCTCTGATTCGCCCTCCACACGGGGCATCAGTAAGTGACTGGCAGCACAGTTGTCTTTATTCACTTCTTCTTGACCCACAGAGCAGGTAGCTCTCCATCCGGCCTGTGGCCTGGGAAGTCATGTGCCAGAACACGACCTCAGCAGCCACCTCACAATGCCAGCATGGAGATCGGACACTGGGCCATCCTGACACTCTGATCAGGAATTCCTCAAACCTGGGAAGAGGGTTCAAATACTCGAGGTTCTGCCACAAAGAATGCCGACAAATGTTCTGAATGAATGTTTATTTAAAAAGGGAGAGTGGGAGGAAACAATGAAAGGAAGAAGACAAGAAGAAGAGGTAGGGAGGCATGGGGAGGAAGGAGGGAAAGACAGAAAGAATCAGTCCACTTGCTGATTCTGCCAATGGGAGCAGGTCTGGGGGAAACTAGCCCCCCTCCCACTGGCAGATCATGGCCCAGGCAGGTGTGGCAAAGGAGGACAGGATGGGCCACAGAATCATGAGCATCATGAGAGATGAGCATCATGAGAATCATGAGCATCCCTCAGAATCATGAGAGATGAGAAAATGGACTTTTTTTAAGTCGTTAAGTTTTGGGGTGGTTTGACATATAGCAATAGATAGTCCCCAAAGTAACTTGTTCAAGGTCATTCACCTAGTAAATGACAGAGGTGGGATCTAAATGCAGGTGGTCTGGCTGCAGAGTCTGCACTTTTCACACTGAGGCATACTGCCTCCCACTACCAAGTGCCCATTCTTTGAAGTTTGCACCTGCACACTAGGAAACCCAGAAGATGATGCAGAGAACTCTGATGGGATGAAGGAAGTCTGGAAGGACTCAACCACTCAGGAGTAGACGCACACAGGTACACAACTGGGTCTGAACCCCCAAGCCTGTTTTCTGTCACCACAGGATGATTTTGGTAGGCACCAGGTCTGGAGGCTAAGGCACAGACCTGGCCCAGTCCAAGGTGGAGGGTTTTCCCCTATGGAAGCCACAGCTTCCTTTCCATCTCTGAATACACAAGTCACCCTGCAGACTCTGAGCTGAATCCATAAGGTCTCAAGA